CGTGTATCATTTCATTGCCATGGTTACAATGCCCTTCATGCATCATCACCCAACCAAAGGGTATACACTACAAGTCTGCCCCCCGGTCATCAGCACACAGCCCCTCTCCCACTCTGTGTCTAAAGTCCCCAGCTTTTCCATCTCTCCACGTCATCATCTCTGCCTCCATCTCAGGCATCACTACTTCTCTGGGTAGGGTCCTGTTCTCCGCTCTTCTCCCTTGATGGTCCCAGGGACTTCTGCTCCTAGACAGAAAAATTAATCACTCCCCTTTTCGCTACAAAACGTCTACATTTCCAACCCTCACAATCAGTCCTGATAACTATTATTCACTATTGTATCACAAGAGACCTATCCGCATTTCATCAGCCCCGCCTAGACAGATTAGATAGTACTCAGTGGAGATTCTACCTTCCTCCACACCCTCTGGACCTTCCATCGTCTCTTGATGCTTTCTACATCATTCAATAGCTTGCCCAGTGAATCTTTCAATAATGAAAGTTGAGGCTTGAATTTTTTCTTCAGTTCCCCCAGCTTAAGAAATGCTGAGCATGTTCTTCCTTTTTGGTGTTCTGATTCCACATCTTTGCACATTTTGTTATAATATGTGGCTTTATCTTCTTGAGCTGATCTTTGAAATTTTATGTTCAGCTCTTGGACCTCCTCATGTCTTCCATTTGCTTTAGCATCTCTATGCTGGAGAGAATGTTTCACTGTCTCTTCTGACATCCATTTTGACCTTTTCCTACTTTCTTGTCTACTCAGTGACTTTCTGCTTTCTTCATTTATGATGTTCTTGATGTCATCCCACAACTCTATGGTCTTCGGTCTTTAGTATTTAATGTATCAAATCCATTCTTCAGATGATCTTTAAATTCAGCTGTGATATATTCAAGGTCATATGTTGGCTCTCGTTGACTTGTTTTCATTTTCTTCAGCTTCAGTTTGAATTTGCACATGAGTAATTGATGGTCTGTTTCCCAGTCTGCCCCTGGCTTTGTTTTCACTGATGATATGGAGCTTTTCCATTATCTCTTTCCACAGATGTAGTCAATTTGATTTCTGTGTGTTCTGTCAGGTGAGGTCCATGTGTATAGTCGTCTCTTATGCTGTCTAAAGGTATATGAAATGAACAAATCATAGGTTTTTCAGAATTCTATCATGCGTTCTCCAGCATCATTTCTATCACCAAGGCCATATTTTCCAACTACTGATTCTTCCTCTTTGCTTCCAACCTTTGCATTCCAATTACCACTGATGATCAATACATCTTACTGCATGTTTGATCAATTTCAGATTGAAGAATTTGTTAGAATTCTTCTATTTCATCCTCACTGGCTTTAATGGTTGGTGCATACATTTGAATAAGTCTTATTAATTGGGCTTCCTTGTAGGCGCATGGATACTATCCTATCACAGACAGCATTGTACCTCATGACTGATCTGGATATGTTCTTTTTGACAATGAATGCAACACCAGTCCTCTTCAATTTGTCATTCCCAGCATAGTAAACCATGTGGTTGTCAGATTCAAAATGGCCATTACCAGTCCAATTCAGCTCACTAATGCCTAAGATATGGATGTTTATGCATTCCATCACATTTTTGATAACTTCTAATTTTCCCAGATTCATACTTCGTACATTCCATGTTCCGATTGTCAAAGGATATTTACAGCTGATTCGCTTCATTTTGAATTGTGCCCCATCAGCAAATGAAGGTCCTATGGGCTTTTCTCTCATGGCTTTACTCCATTTGCATCATCATAGTCAACTCTACTTTGAGGATGCAGCTCTTCCCCGGTCACATTTTGAGTGCCTTCCAACCTGAGGGGCTCATTTCCCGGCACTACATCTGACAGTGCATCTCTGCTATTCCTAAGGTTTTCAGTGACTACATATTCGGAAGTAGTTTGTCACTCTTTTTTCCTAGTCTGTCTTTGTCTGGAAGCTCATCTGAAACCTGTCCACCATGGGTGACCCTGTGGGTATTTAAAATATTGGTGGCATAGCTTTCAGAATCACAGCAACTTACGAACCACCACAATATGACAAACTGACAGACTTGTGGTGACCCTAAGTAGATGTGATAAATTAGAATTGAACATTTTTAGCTCTACAGCAACATGTTAAAAAAAAAAAAGAGCTGGCATAGTAACACTTATGAAAATACCTTGCAGGGGATAAGGTCAGGGTTCATACACAAATGAAGAAGAAATGTTATTTGCATAAAAATGTGATATACAAATATATAAAAAGTGATACAGATATGAAAAGAAAAAAATAAAGATGAGTAATAAAAACAGCTGAGTAGTCTAAAATAAGGTATAAAAGATGTGAAGATGAGAGGGAGAAAAAATGGGAGAAAACTTTTACTTAAATATGATGAAAACATTAATCTACACATTCAGGATGCTCAAAGAACTTCCAGTAGGATAAATTCAAAATGAGCCAGACTAGATACATCACAATCCAATTGCCAAAGGCTAAAGAGGGCATCATGAAACCTGCAACAAAGAAGTAACGCATCACACACAAGGGATCCTCAGAATTAATAGCTGACTTCTCATCAGAAGCAAGGAAGACAGAAGACAATGAAATGACATATTCAATGTACTGAAAGTAAAAGACTACTGACCAGGATTTATATATCTAGCAAACATTTTTCAAAAAATGAAGGTGAGATGAAAACATTCACTAAAAACTAGAGAATTCACTGCTAGCAAACACTACAGGAAATACTCAAGTGAATTAAAAGGACGCCGTTGTGCTATGTAGAGTTGGTTCAGACTCATAGCAACCTTACATAGGGTTTCCAAGCAGCAACTAGTAGGTTTGAACCTCTGACCCTGAGGCTGGCAGTCCAGTGCTTGTTCTACAGCACCAAAGCAGGACTCCAAAACAGTATGCTGGGTTTGAAATGCAGCCCCCCTCCCCTGACCTTGTGGTAAATAGTGCAGTGCTTATCCTATAGCGCCACACCAGTCCAGACTCCTCAAAATAGTCTAATAGCTCCTAATTTATATGCAAGGAGTCCTGGTGTGGCGCTGTACAGGGTCATTATGAGTAAGAACTGACACTAACACCACCACTGAAATCCACATGAAGAAATAAAGATCATCAGTAAGGTAATTACATAGGTAAACGCACAGAACAGTATAAATGTATTTTTGTTAACTCTTTTTTTTTCCTCCCAAATGATTTAAATGACAACTGCATAAAGCAATGATTATAAGCCTGTGTGGATGTGTTGATGGATACATAAGGTATAAAGATGTTATCTGTACAATAACATCAATCAAATAAAGGGGGAGGTAATGAAGTTATAGAAGAGTAAAATGTTTACACATTACTGAAACTAAATTGACATTCATCTGTTATGGTGACTATTATCTTAAGGGCTAAGAAAATAATTTTAAGAGCATGAAATGGCAAGTGAATTCACATGGAGAATTAGAAAATATTTAACAAAACAAAGAGAGTAATGGAGGAACCGTGATGTCTTCAAATTGATTGAGACTCATGGCAAGCCCATGTGTGTTAAAGTAGAACTGTACTCAGTAGCGTTCTGAATGGATGGTTTTTTTTTTTTGGTAGTATTTGACGAGACCTTTCTTCTAAAGTACTTCAAAGATTCAAATCTCCAAGCTTTTGGTTAGCAGCCAAGCACATTAACCATTTGCACCACCCTGGAATCTTAGAACTAGGAAACAAATTAAGACCACAGAGCCATCTACCAGACTGGCACAGATTAAGAAGTTTGATAATACCACATCTAAACAGCATGTAGATCAAAGGGAAATTTTACATATTCTGGCAGCAGTGGAGATTGGCACAACCACTTAAGAAAAAAATTTAGCAGTACCTCCTAAAGCTGACCATTTACTTATCCATTGGCCCAAAAATTTAACTCCTGGATAAACTCTAAGCTTGTGCTCAATGTCACATACACATTTAAGAATGTCAATAGCATCACTGTTCATACTAGCAAAAGAAACAATTCAGATGCTTATCATCAGGAGAAAAATTGTCACACACTGACAAAATAAATCATTTCATAGCATTAACTCGATGGCAACTAATAATCACCAGAAGCACTGAAAATGAAGAAACTAGAGGAGGGGGGACAACATAACTAGTGAGGCAGGCACACCACAGAACGGTCAATCATTCAAAAACAAAAGGGCAGCATTTTCTTAAGGACCAAATTCAAAATGGTTGGGAAAGGAGGAATAGAAACAAGAATCACAGGAGGCGGTGGGATAAGTAATGCTCCACTGAGGAGATTGCCGTCACTGAAATGCAATGAAGTGTGTGATTTGTTGAATGTAAAACTGAAGATCTGCTCGGTAAACTTTCACTTTTTTTTTTTTTAATGAAGCTATAGTTACCCTACTATTACACACAACATGCCGAGCTCTTAGAGACATAATATTATATGAAAATAGTTACGTTTTATTTGACTACATGAAGAATAAGGAGCCCTGGTAGCATGTAGGTTAAGAGTTGGGCTAACTAAAAGGTCAGGTTTTCAAATCTACCAGTCACTCCACAGGAGAAATAGGAAGCTTTCCGCTCCTGGAAAGATTTTCAGCCTGGGAAACCCTATACAGGGTGGCTGTGAGTCAGAACTGACTCCATGGCCCACTTCTATAAATATCCCAAATAAGCATAAATAAGCAATCTATTGTTTTGTCATATGCATACACAGATTTAAAAAAATTAAACAAGGGAATGATAAACACAGTACTCAGACAAATAGAGTCATTCTTAAGGAGAGAAGGAAAGGGGTGTAAGTAGATTCAAACATTGGTCATGTCCTAATTTTAGGTCTGGGTAATAATTTTACATTAAGTTTGTGGTACTATTTGTGGTACTTATGTAAAGAGTTTATATAAGTACCAAATCCATTTTTAAAAGGTAATAGAAAACAAAGAACAACAAGAAAAGGTAATAGAAAACAACTTTATATTTAAACAATCTTAAACATGAAACTCATACCTTCAACTATGCTGGACTTAGCAAGAAATCCTAAAGATGTTTTTAGAGCTCCATTGAATACCACAAAACTTGCACCTGTCACTGATAAAACAAAAAACAAAAAAACCTCCAATTATTTATATTTTAACCTGCCATTTTATATTTGTTAAATGCATATTGTAGAGCATGGCACATTTTAAGTACTCAATAAATGACATATCCACACTATTTACATTAGAAAACGAACCAAAAAATAAAGGACACAAAATTAAGATAAAATGCTGTATGTTGTTGTTAAGTGCTGTTTGAGTTGCAACCCGAAGAGCAGTTAGTGGATCTGAACTGCTGACTTTGTGGTTCAAACTGACCTTTGGTCCAGTGCTTTATCCCACAGCACCACACCAGTGCAGCAGAAATTGCAAAAAGCATATTGCCTTATCTCTATCAACTCAGCAAAGAAATCATTTATATGAAATGTTATCTGCCACTCTCTGGAAGAAAGATGGAAGTTTTCTGCTCGTGTAAAGACCTACAGTCTTGGAAAGCCTATAATAGCTCATCATGAGTTGGAACCGACTTTACGACACTAACAATAATCTAATAATTGTACTAAAATGTTTGAGGCTATGTCAGCGAGGGTATGGGAAATCAAATATCCACTACTGGTGAGAATGTAAATCAGAACAATTTCTATTAAAGACAACAAGATCACATCTTGATAATAAAATTACAAATAACATATATCCTTTGATATAACAATTCGACTTCTGGGAATTTATTGTAGTCTCACAAGTGTAGAAAATGCCACAGTACATTTTAATAAACATCCTGTAATGAACAATTAAAAGGATATACACATAAAAAAAAGATCATGCACATCATTATAAAATGGAAAATTCTGTGGAATAAACAAGCTCTTTAAATACTACTGTTGTGTGCCATCGAGTTGATTCTGATTCATAGTGACCCTACATGACAAGAGAAGAGTTGCCCTATAGTACTCTCTAAGCTGTTATTCTTTATGGGAGCAGATCAATAGGTTTTTTCTCCTCAAAGCCTCTGGTAGGTTCAAACTACTGACCTTTTGATTAGCAGCTCAGCACTTAACCACTGTGCTACCAGGGCTCCTTCCTAAACTTTATAGGCTAACAGAGAAAAATCTCCAAGGTGCATTAACTACAAAAAAAGTAACATGGTACAGAATACAATGTTACGGCTTTTTTCAAAAGTCAAAAGACAGACATTTTCTCTCTGTGTATGGATTTGCATGAATCTACAAACCAGCAAAAATGCTCCTGAAAGGTTTGATAATACCCCATGGACACACTGTTGTTAAGTGTTACCGAGTCAGTTCCGACCCATAGTGACCCTGTATAGGGTTTCCAAGGAGCAGCTGGTGAGCTTAAACCACCCACCTTGCAGTTCAAACGCTTTACAGTCTAATGCATTAGCTCACAGTGCCACACCAGGAAGATATCAAAATGAACACAGTCTTCCAAGTCTACTGTAACCCAAGAGAATAACACAAATAAAAGGAATACTTTAATTTACTGCTGTTGTTAAGTGCCATCGAGTCGGTTCTGACTCATACTAACCCTGTATAGGGTTTCTGAGGAGTGGCTGATGATTTTGAACCACAGACCCTGTGATTCAACCTGACCTTGCAGTCTAGTGCTTTATTCCACAGCGCCACACCAATGTAGCAGAAAATTTAAAAACATACTGTCTTACCATTATCAATTCAGCAAAGAAATTGTATATATGAGATATGTATGCATAAATGCGTGTGTGTATGTGTATGTATGGAGTCCTGGTGTAGCACTGCCAGTTAATGTGCTAGACTGTAAGGTCAATTTGAAATCAAAGATCAGTAGTTCAAGCTCACCAACCGCTCCTCAGAAACCATATACAGGGTTTCTGAGTCAGAAACGACTCTTAACAGCAACATGTATATATACAAATACACACACATATTGTTGTTGTTAGGTGCCATTGAAGTCAGTTCCAACTCATAGCAACCTTATGTACAATAGAACAAAACACTGCCTGATCCGGCACCATCCTCATAAATGTTGTTATGTTTGAATCCATCGTTGTAGCCATGTGCCAATCTATCTCCTTGACGGTCTATCTTTTTTGCTGACTACTAATCATGATGATACACAGATAAATTATACATATTTTTCCTGTTGAAAGAATGATAATAATGGTGTTTTTATAAATTAGCATGAGGAACCATAACTCTCACCTTTCCTAGGATGGCCAGTTGCACTGTTGGCCTGTGTTTGATATACTCCATCATTCTGTACACAGACTAGATGAGAATCTGCTTCTGTACTAAAGCTAGCTCCAATGCTAATGACATGCTCATTAGAAGAATTTATTACTTTCATTACCTGGGAGGGAAAACACTCATTTAGAAACACTATTAACATTTTATGCCTTTCTTGACTACAATAATTCAAAGTGTCATATTCTGGATCTGCTTCATAATCATTAAATTTTGTCTGGAGACCTCCCTGAAATGTGGCATACACAGATGTTTAAAAATAAAACAGTAAGAAAAAAAAATGCCAAAAAAAACCACCCCCAAACAGTAAGCAAGACCCTTATCAGGAAATTCTAAACTTTCTAAAGTAATGGTTGTTTCAATCTATTACATTATTAGTCTGATTATAAATAAAAATTAATTTGACACAGTTTTAAGGAAATCTAATGTTTAATAACTACTTTCAAAATTAAAAAAGCAATTATACTTACATCACTATACTTTTTCCGAGGTATTTTTATGCAGCTTTTGCCCATTTCCATATGAATCAATAGTTGATCTATATTATGCAAGGTATACTGGTAATTTCGAAGGTCCTACATAAAACAATTACATTTCCATGAAGTTTAAACTATTATCCATGAGCAGTTACCCATTTATTAAACCATTTTTTTAAAAGTGAATATACAATCAAAATTCCATCAATAAAGTCAGTATCAACTTAAGAAAACCAACTAATTCTTCTAGCTACTCCACATCAGTTACAAAAAGTACTATTCTTATAAAGAATAACATTCCCAGGAAGAATTTGATAGTTAACACTTCTTTATAGCTGCAGATCTTCCAAAATACAAAAGCTCTTCAAACTGAACTTTTATAACTGAAATACTTTTCTGTGCCTTAATTAACTAGTGCTGTCCTAACAGAAATACCATCTGTCTTAGTTAGCTACACTGCTATAAAAGGAATACACCAATGGGTGGCTTTAAGAAATAGAAATTTATTCTGAGTTTGCTGTTGTTGTTGCTAGCTACCATTAACTCATAGCAACTCTAGGTACAACAGAACGAAACACTGCCCGGTTCTGTGCCATTCTCATAACTTGCCATTTTTGACCCCAAAATGTCAATCCTTCTCATTGAGGGAATCTACCGCATACGACCTTTTTAAAGTGTTCAAGAGCAAAGATGTCAGTTTGAGGACTAAGGTGCACCTGACCCAAGTCATGATGTTTTCAATAATCTCATATGCATGCGAAAGTTGGACAGTGAGTAAGGAAGACAGTATAACTGATGCATTTGAGTTATGGCATTGGGAGAGAGAGAATACTGAAAGTCCCATGGACTGCCAAAAGAACATATAGTGTTGGAAGAAGTACAACCAGAATGCTCCTTGGAAGCCAGGATGGTCAAACTTCATTCTCATACTTTGGACATATTAGCAGGAGGGACCAGTTCCTGGAGAATGACCTCATACTTAGTAAAGTGAAGGGTCAGAAAAAATAGGAAAGACCCTAACGAGATGGATTGGCAAAGTGGCAGCAGCAATGGGCAAAGCATAGCAATGATAGTGAGGTTGACACAGGACCAGTCAGTGTTTTGTTCTATTGTGCAGAGGGCTGCTATGAGTTGGTATTGACTCGACGGCACCTAACACCAACCAACTACTACTATTTTTCCAAGCACAATGTCCTTTTCCAGGGATTGGTGCCTGCTGATAACGTGTCTGAAGTATGTGTGATAAAGTCTTGCCATCCTCACCTTTAAGTAACCTTCTGGCTGTACTTACAAAGTATTTATTCATTCTTCTGACAACCTATGGTATATATAATGCCCTCTGCCAACACCACAAGTCAAATCCATCAATTCTTCTTTGGACTTTGCATGCACATGAGACAGCAAAAATACTGCAGCTTGTGGTCAGGCATACCTTAGTTCTCCAAGTGGCATCTTTGCTTTTAACACTTTAAAGAGGTCTTTGGCAGCAGATTTATCAGTGCAATACACACTTTTATTTCTGCACTGCTGCTTTCAAGACATTAGTGGAGATACAAGTAAAATGAAATCCATGACAAACTCAATCTTTTCTCCATTTATGCTTCCTATTGGTCCAGTTGCAGGATTTTTTTCTGAATGTTGATGTGTAATCTTTAATCTAGTGAATTATTTAATTTCGAGTCCTGGTGTGACACTATAGGATAAGCACTGGACTGGTAACCACAGGGTTGGTGATTCAAACCTTAGAGACCCTACACAGAGTCACTGTGAGTTGGCACAGACTCAATTTCACTTAACACTTAACAAGAAGTCTTTAATGCTTCAACTGGTTTTTAAACTTTCAGCAAGAAGGCAGTGTAATCTGCATATCACAAGTTGTTAATGAGTCTTCTGTCAATCCTGATCCTTTGTTCTTCATTAGTCCAACTTCTTGGATTATTTTCTTAACATACAGACTGAATAAGCCTGGTAAAAAATAATACAAGCCTAATCTACAGCTTTTCTGATTTTATATCATGCAGTATACCCCCTTGTTCTGTTCAAATGACTGCCTCCTGGTCTATGTACATGTTCCATATGTGCACAAGAAAGTGCTCCGGAGTTCCCATTCTTCATAATGTCATAAAAATTTGTTATGATCCACACAATCAAATATTTTTGCATAGTCAATGAGACAGAGGCAAAGATCTTTCTGATATTCTCTACTTTAGCGAAGATCCATTTGACATCAACAATGATATCCCTCATCCCAAGTCCTCTTTTGAATTCAGCTTGACTTTCCAGCAGTTCCCTGTCACTGTACTACTTGACTATATCTTCAGCAAAATTTTACTAGTGTGTGATATTAGTGATATTGTTTGATTATTTCTGCATTCTGTTAGATCACCTTTCTTTTAGAATGGGCACAAATATGATCTCTTCTAGATGGATGGCCAGTTGCTGTCTTCTAAAGTTCTTGACAAGGTGAGTGAGTACCTCCAGTACTGCATCCATTTGTTGAAATATTTAAATTCTGTCAATTCCTGAAGCCTTGGTTTTTTCCAATGCCTTCAGTGCAGCTTGGACTTCTTTCTTCAGTACTTGATCATATGCTACTTCCTGAAATGGCTGAACATCAACTAACTCTTTGTGGTATAGTGACACTATATATATATTCAATAAGGTCACATGAACAGGTTCCAGGTAGACATGAATGTTGGGGCTGCTGGATCTGGAAGAAAGCCCTTTTCTCTTTCAGCTTCTACTTCTGGGTCATCTTCATGTGTCTTGGTATCTCTCTCCCCTCAAATCTGCTCTGCTCACTTTATGTAACTTACTTCATATCTCAAAAGATAGTGACTCATACACTAATTCTTCCTCACTAGCATAACAAAGACAACCCATTCCCTAGTGGAATTATAGCCACAGGCATGTTTAACATACATATTTTTGGAAGGAAAATACCAAATTACAGTATGTAGAGATGTAACGAAACCTTGGACATAATCGAATGCAACTCATTCGAATACAAATGAAGAAACTAAGGACATAGTTTCCTCGAAATCATAAAACTGACTGTAGTAATACTTTTTCAAAATTTCAGCAACTGTTTGGGGGTCTCACATTATCTAAATATTAAGTACTGCAGCAGAACTGATATTAGCCTGGCACCTATAAATTGTTATTGTTAGCTGTCATCAAGTCAGTCCTCAGCTGATGGCAATCTCATGCACAATATGGTTGAACCACTGTGATCCACAGGGTTTTCATGGGCTGATTTTCAGAAGTACATCACCGGTCTTTCCATCTTAGTCTGAAAGTTCCACTGAAACCCGTTCCGCATTATACCACCATGAAGCCTTCAATGATAGATGGTGGCTATAATTGAGATGCACTGACCAGGAATCGAATTCAGGTCTGCCCATGGAAGGTAAGAATTCTACTTCTGACCCACCCCTGTCCTCTTGCATATAAATTACGGTTATTAAGTACCATCAAGTCGTTATCAACTCATAGTGACCCTGTATAGGGTTTCCCAAGAGTGGTTGCTGGGTTTGAACTGTTGACCTTGTGGCTAGCAGTCCAGTGTTTATCCTACAGCACCACACCAGGATTCCTTGCACATGATTAGCAGTTATTATATTCTGAAAAGCAGTATGTCAATTACTCACAACAAGTAAGTTCATAATCGTGTGTCCTATTTCTCCAAAAAGAGGTTTTCGGCCTCTGATACTTGTTAGAGGAGCAGGATACGCTATTATAAGAAAGGAAAACTGGTTATTGACAACAATAACCAAAAAAATATTGAATTTAGCACCTTTAAGTCCCATTTTTCAAACAAACCAAACAACTCAATATGAAACACCCATCATCAACTGCATATACACTGATCCAGAAATTAACCTTTACTGTGCATCTCTTAGATAGTACACTGAACTGGGAAGTTTATATTTACTTATTTCAACCCTACAGATCCCAATGAAGTAGGACTACACCTGCTTTACAGGTGAGAAAGTTGAGACACAGAGATTAATATTCAATTGTGCTGATTCATGGATGGTAGTAAACTTTTACAGTTTTTGGATCGACAAAGGACATATATAGAATAACAGAAGTTCACACAGAAAAGGGGAAGGAACATGGTACCTTCCACCAAAGTACCTTTTTCTTTGCTGTTGTTAGGTGTCCCTGAGTGGATTCCAACTCACGGTAACCCCCATGTGACAGAGCAGCACTGGCCCATTGGACTGTCTATACTGGAACTTTTATGGGAGCAGACTGTCAGGTCTTTAGTCTGTAGAATCACTGGGTAGGTCTGAATCACAAGACTCTTTGTTAGCAGCCAAATACTTAACCACTGTACCACTAGGGCCACTTCCTTTTTCTTTCTTTATGACAGTATAAATGGTGGTGGTGGCTAAGTGCCATCAAACTGGCTCCAATTTATGGCAACCCTGCATAGGGTTTCCAAGGCTATAAATCTTTATGGAAGCAGAAGCCTAATCTTTCTCCGACGGAGCGGCTGGGAGATTCAAACCACTGACCTTGAGTGGTTAGCAGCCCAGTCTGCTATCAGGACTCCATGTTGTTAAGTGCTCTTTGGGCAGTACAAATACGGCACACCAAATAGGAAAGAAAACCTCGCAGGCAACGCAGCAGGGCGTCTCAAGGAAAATGTGAAGCATGTAAGGCTACACTGTTTCTATGATGATAAAAGGCAGACACATTTCACACTGTTCTTGGTTTAGGTCATAATCAAATTAACCGTTCTAATACCTATTATACAATTACACCTTCTAAACTTTCTAAGGGAGTCCTGGTGTGGTGCTGTAGGTTAATGCACTGGACTGTAAAATCACTCCGAACTGCAAGGTAGATGGTTTAAGCTCACCAGCTGCTCCTTGGAACCCTATGCAGGGTTGCTATGGGTCAGAACCAACTCTACAGCACTTAACAACAACAAACTTTCTGAGAAAACTTCATACAACTATTTAAAGACTTGATACAGAGCAACATATTCTTGCTATGTAAAATTATTTTGGATACTGGTGCTATTTTAGATATTTTGTAATTCTAAAAAGTGCAAGTTAGGGTCTAGAATGTGAAAGAAATGAGAGTTAAAAGAAATTAAAATGATAGAAGAAAATGATTAGGGTAAACAACAACTTTATCTCCTCCTTATATTAATAAGGGTGTGCCCTCTGCAACCTGAGAGAGGTAATTTTATTTAAGACATTATTATTAACATGTTACAGAATTTAGAGTGACATATTGTCAGATTTACAAAGGGACTCATAGTCACGTAATCCAACATTTAAAGCTACTTTAAATAAGCAGTCTCAACATAAAAAAGGAGATAATGCTCATTCTGAAATGACTAATTTGATCCAGTTATTTTCCAACTAATCTTGGGACTCATCCCGTTTGTTATTGCTATTATCTGCTGCCCACGGCCACTGAGTTACTTCCAACCCTTAAGAGTTCCTGACACTGTAAATCTTTATAGAAGCAGACAGCTTCATCTGTCCTCTTGGAGTAATTAGATTTGAACCACGGACCTGGAGGTTAGCAGTCAAATGCTTAATCCACCAGACCACCTGGACTCCTTCTCAAATGGCACAGACATTAGTAATACCAAAGTACTAGTCTGCTTAAGAGCGCTGGTAGTGTACTGGGTTATGAGTTGGACTGGTAACTGCACGGTCACTAGTTTCAATCTACCATTTGCTTTGTAGAAGAAAGATGAGGCTCTCCGCTCCTGTAAATATTTACAGCCTCAGAAACCCTATGCAGGGTCATTAGGAGTCGGACCGACTCTACAGCACGTAACCACCACCAGCAGTCTATCCAAAATTCAGCAGAACACAGAGATTTCAGAAAACAGCTGAGATCAGCTAGCGTCCATGTATAACTGGCTCTCTGCCCTTATAAACATGAGCCTAGCATAGTCACATGAATGCAACCCCTGTGATCTTTTGAGAAGTCCCTCATAATGCTCCGTAGTTTTCCACTTTGAGGACAACAGATTTCCCAAAAGTGACACTGCCCAAAATACTGGTCAAATTTTCAGATGATATACTTCGTAATGATTTAAGAGTAGCTAGGACTCTTGGTGTAGTGCTATAGGATCAGCACTGGACTGCGAATCACAAGGCTGGCAGTTCAAACCCACAAGCTGCTCCTTGGAAACTCTGTACAGGGTCACCATGAGTTGGAATCGACTCAGTGGCACTCAGCAAGAAAAACAAGTATAGGATACGCACTGGACTGCAAAGTCGGTTTGAACTGTAAATCAAAAGTTCAAATCCACCAACCATTCCTCAGAAACCCTACACAGGGTTGCTATGAGTTGGAACTGAATCGATGGCACTTAACAACAAAGTATATCACTCTAACCTTCCATAAAACAGCCTTCACATATTAATATCAGATACAAAAATACTAGACTGAATTGACTCAGGGTGAAATTTCTTAACTTGAATAGTTTGATTCACATAGCACATAGCCTGAGATGAAAGTTGGATTTTGCTACTTTTTACACAACTTAATAACGTCATGTATTTAAATCCTTTAAATGCTAAAGACCCTCCTAAAATCAGAACTTACTAAAATTTGCCAAACAGAGGAACTTATAGTTCTCTTTCACTGAATTTGTCCATTTTGAAATAGTACTGTTCACTTTTCTAATTTTACTACATTTAACTTTCTTCTAGGAAAACACTTACTAAATTATATTAAAATCAAATGCCAAAAATTTCATTAGATGTAATGAAATGTATGTACTTCATATGCAATAACTATTTCCTGAAAAGAGTCAGGGATACAGAAATGGTGGGAATTCACAAAAGTTTAACACTCAAAATGACTTAAGACTTACTTAGAAATAACCACACATATAAACTGGACCATTATTTCGTAGTAGCTTTATAATCTTTGCTCTTGTCAAAAAAGAGATACGTAAACACACACACATATTCATATGTAAGCAATATTGTCTATATCACTTCTGGGTGATAAAAATGAGAATAAGGAACTTAGAAAAGATAAGAGCCATAATTATTAAATATTTCCTTTCCTAAAAAGGAGTTCTGGTAGCATAGTGGTTACGAATCAGGCTGTGAACCGCAAGGTCAGCAGTTCAAAACAACCAGCTGTTCCATGGGAGAAAGATGAGGCTCTCTGCTCCCGTAAAGATTTACAACCTCGGAAACCCTGTACAGGGTCGCTACAGGGTCGCTATGAGTCGGAACCGACTCCACAGCACACAGCCACCACCAACAAAAACAGCTAACTCTTGATAACCAAATATCCAAAAATCCTTTATCTTTATCTTTATGATAGAGACATATTAAGCGTGACACTGATTTACCTTAATGTGTGAAGTTGTTTAGTGTCGTAGAGTCAGTTCTGCTCACAGCGACTCTGTATAAAGTTTCCTAGGAGCAGCTGGTGAGTCTGAACTGCTGACTTAGTGGTTAGCAGTCCAGTGCTTATCCTACAGAGCCATAAAAAATGAAGTCCCTATAGTACAGGCTTTCAGAAATCTATTAGCAAAATACAATACGGTCAAAGTTTCCTGTTTCATTTTTAAAAAAAGAAAAAGCTAAGTTAATATAATATCTGTATAAGTTTTAGGGCATACAAAGTTTGTGTAGACTAGTTTGACAGTAAAAGAGGGTTGGTATGGAACTTTAAAAGTATACAGGACAATTGTAAAATAGACATTTGTGTGTGATAGAAATGAATATTGGGAATTATGATTACAGAAAGCTTTTAAGCCCTTCTTCAATTAAGCCTATAACTGACTGGATTTGCTAAAACATGAGTTAGAATTTACCCAAGGAAACAGGCTTCTTGCTAAACCTTTGTAGAGTATGGGGCCTTATGTGGAATCCTGAGCCCCTCTCAAAACATGCAGACCAACCTAGAACTGCTGACAGAACAGAAGATTCTTATTGTAGAAAGACCTACAGAAAAAAGCAGACTGTTTGACTGTTTGAATATCAAGTAAGCTGTTTGCTTCGGAGGGATCAAAACAAGAAAAGTCAGCCCATCAGGGAAAACCCACTTCTAGGATTGAAAAACGGAACCAACAAGCAATCTAGTATACTTGCTGGTGACCACTTAGGTCTGTTTTTAGGTGGAAGTAGGTGAAACCCATCGGTGATGACATGGACTGAACTTGGCCATGTTCCATTGATACCCATTAACCTTGAGATGAGAGACAGAAGAGAAGTGCTAGCTGATCTAAGTTTAGGGAGATGTATGAACTCCTGAGCCCATGGCACTGACCTAGCCCCTGGAGCTAGGGCTGAGAGTGAAGCAGCCAGCTGGTCTGAAGTGCAGGGAGGTGTGTGTGAATTCCCAAACTTGCAGCTAGTTCTCATTTGACCTAGCTTGGATGGCTAGCTGACCAGAACTTGGCCAGATGAAGATAAAGATGTTTACTACTGTCAGCAAGTATACATTTCTTCAATTTGATGAAATGAACTTTTGCTTATGGATGCAGTTGCTCAAAATTCCAACTGGAATGGAAGGATTTGTATCAAGAACAAGCTTCTTTCCTCAGTGTACTGGGTTGATGTTGTGGCTGTTGTTAAGTGCCGTAAAGTTGATCACTGGGTTGATAGAGATGAGCAATTCAGACATTGGTTATCAAAAATGGGGAGGGGGGAGGCTATACAGATATGAAGTGGCTGACTTACAAGCTTTCATGAGTATGCTTAGTTTCAGAATGAGGAGGGTAAGACAGAATCACCACTGAATAGCTTTCTTTCTCAGATGGATCTGGTGAAAGGAGATAGAGGATGACAGTAATAGGATTTTATGATTCAAGTATAAGGAACTGTTAGTAAGATTATTTGCAATTGTCAAAACTGTAATTGTAGAAGACGTATAATAACTAAAGGGTGGCGGGTGGTAGCTGATCATTCATTTCAGGACCATCAAGGAAGAACATGACTGGAGTGTGAAATCCCCACCTAGAAACGTGATGACAACAAGCTGGTAGCATGGAAAGACAGAGTAGCTGTGGGCTTTAGGCCCATGGACTAAGACTTTGTGCCTCTGGGCAGGAGGTTGGCTTACAAAATGAGCCCTTTGGACCCTTACATGAATATATGTTTGTTTGTATGGTGTAAAAAAATAAATAAGGAGGTCTTATGCAGCAGCAAAAAAAAAAAAAAAAAAAGTATATAATAACAATTGGTTGGTTGGTTATGTGCCATGGAGTCGGTTCTAACTCACAGTGACCCTGCACAAGGTTTCTGAGACTGTAAACCTATACAGGAGCAGAAAGCCTCATCTTTTTCCCATGGGACAGCTGGTAGTTAGCAGTCCAATTCGTAACCACTATGCTACCAGAGGGCCTCATAGTAGTCCTATTACTTCATTCAAAAACTGATTTTAAGGAATTACCTAATATTTTTTATTTTATATTCAGTATTTTTGAACCTATGTAATTTAGCTCATCATTCTAAAACTTACCTTTATATTCTGCACCCAATCTCAACATTAAACGCATAGGAAAAACCTTTGCCCAGGGAATCTCTAGCTTCTGGATAAGAATTCCACAAAGAAATGGACTACTTGGTAATGGGAGGTCATCAAGCTTCTGAAAAGTAGGTGTAATAAACAGGAATCCTCCATGATCTTTGCTATTGAGAAAACTCTCAGTAAAGGTAATATTGTCCAAATTTTCTATGTATTTTCCTAGAAACAAAATAATAAAAATCTTTTATTATTGTTTTAAAGAAGCACTTTAGTTTGCATACTCCATTACAAATCCCTTAAGTATAAGGCATTCTTTTTCCTTCTTATTTCCACTCTTGAAGAAGAATCTATGGATTACTTCTGTGCACAAAAACTGGATATTCATGGAGAATGGATTGTCAGCTAACACTGAAAAATTTTCTAGCCTTTAGGTACTTAACATTTTTCATCATATGGCTTGGTCAATCAAAAAATTATACCACATCCCCAATCTTACACAGACAGTAAAAAGAAATTATATAAACTTAAAAAGTAACATTTCCATTTTTCAATAAAAAAAAAAACAACTCTATGTAAAGGCACTAATTACACAAAATGCTATACTAAGTAACTGGAAATGATAATTAAGCTCTTTTAAGAAATCAGCAATATTGTAACAAAATCAACCTTAGTATAGTTACTACAGCCAAAAGCATTTCCAATTTATCCATTCATTCCCTAATATGAACAGTTCAAAATAAAATGCTATACCTTTTAGAGCATCCTTATATATGGTGATAAATAGTTTGAAGATGTCCTTAGGAAAAGTATCTTCATTTGGCAAACATAATAATAGAATAATAATTTCTGCCTGTCCCAAGCCATGCAATCCATTGGTTGAGAAGTACCAATATTTGTCTGAGGAATCTTAAGTGATAAAACATACAACTATAAATATCAACTTATATTAACCAAAAAAACACTAAAATAATTTTCCTTTGCATGAAAGCACAACTTATCAAATTCCTACTTTTCCAGAGTTCTATTCACAAAAACTTTAAGTTGAACTGTATAAGATTAATGTTAAAAAAAAAAAAAAAGGAAAGGATTATTTTGAGGTGTCAGTAAGTACCACTTAATTAAAGATGCACTTATGCGCTAATGTGTGGTAGAGAAGAATTAGGTTAGGTTCAAAGAGAACAAAAAGTCAAAGGATACTAAGCTCTATTACTGAGGATTATTTATTTACTTCCTGACTTTTAGTTAGGTTATGTCATATATTTTAACACTGTCATTGCTGCTAAATCAGAATTCCTGTTTATTCAATTGTCAAATTTAAATTTATCTAAAAACAGTAACAGATTAGTCAATTGTGTCATGAGTATAAAATAAAATTCCACTATAAGTCTAGGACCTTAACCTAGAATTGACTGAGAGACGGCATTAAAAATCTAAAAGCTGGTATTTCACGTCCCAATGTATATAAATTTGCAACATTTATTTATATTTACATCTACCTGAAAAACCAGTAACTAAAGTTGCTTCTTGTCTCTGCTGTCTGTCCAAATCCAATTTAAAGATGTAATTCTGAAATCCTTCTTACCAATTAAAGAAAAAAAGATAATCATTACTTACAAAACACTAATTTGACATTCACGAGTAGATTAGCATTTAGGACAAATGTAACAGGACGAAATCCTTCGCCTTCAAGAAGCAAAATAATCTGTTCATGAGATGGATGGTCTTCTATTACAGGAACTAAATAATGAAGATAACATACTAATTATGATAAATATAACTTATAAAGAAAAAGTGTTAAGTACACTTACAATGAAAAAACAAATTTATAAATCCACCAATCCCTGGCTAAATTTTAAAAACAAACAAAGTTCATAAACTCAATTGACACCCTGGACAATTGGCATATACTTATTTTTACTCTATCTGTATAAAAATAATTTATACTGTAATACACATAAAACCAAAAACCAAACCGGCTGCTGTCAAGTCGATTGTGACTGAGAGTGACCTGACAGGATAGAGTAAAACCGCCTTGGAAGGCTTCCAGAGCTTCAGTCTATGGCAGCAGACTGCCACATCTTTCTCCTGTGGAGCAGCTGTTGAGTTTGAACTGCTGACCATTTAGCTAAGTCAAACTCTTAGCCACTGCACCACAAGGCTCATATTAAACCAACAAAATTTATGAGCACATTCTTTTTTTTGTTAAATAACTGCTTTCCTACCTGATCCAATTTCTCCAGATGGGACCAGAAGTGGTGGCAAGTTGTCCTCCTCATCATTAGGTAGAAGACTAATCTTATTGGAAACATACTTGTCAATACCACACAATAATTTATAATCTGAACTGCTGCCAATGGGTAAATTGTTGTTCACTACACCACCACCAACAGGACTAGATGGTTGCTTAATTTCTGCGAAAACATCATCTTCTAGCACAAAAGAACCAGAAGGAGGTAACTCTTCACTTCCTGTGTTTATAGGCAGTTTTTCCTTAGATGGATCCTGACAAATAGGATTTTGAACAATCTCATTTCTTGTAGAATCTTCTATCTCATTTGATTGTTCCACTGTAGAAGAATGGGCATAATCCTCTGTATTTACCATCTATAAAGTATAAATTTAAAAAAAATTAAAAATCATTTCCTATTTTGTTCAACTGTGAAATCTTGATCAAGAAAACCATACATACCTTTTAAATAAAAGTAAATAAAAACCAAAATGGGTTCAGAAAGTGTTTTAATGTACCATTTCCCAAGAAAAAGTTTACTTTCACTTCAGAAGAACAAGGTATTTTAGTTTTACAAGATGCTTGGGGAGGTATTAATGACTTTGAACTTATACACTGAAAAAATGAGGCAAGAAAATTTTCAGGATCTTGTACTGTATCATACAATATGCAAGGCAAGCTTAGTTCAATCCAAGGCTCTCTTTATGATAGTCAAAAAAGTCTGGGCAGGAAGCGGTACAGGGGGAGTAGTCAAGAGGCAGAGTGGTGGATATATTCCATAGTAGTAGCCACCTGGAATAAACTCCACATCAAGTCTGCGTCAATACAATTCCTTTCTTTTAGACTGGTCAAACCTGAATCAGCACTATATGAAAACCACTGTATGAACTCAAATAATATTTACTAACCTGTTTTGCACTTTCATTTTGCTAAAATATCAAGCCCTCAATCAACACAGGCCCTGGCTAGGAAACATGCCTTCAGTAATTATGGCTATTTGTAAAATCTAAAATCTCACTCATGAGTGCTTACTGACAAACAGCATTCAATTCTTTGGAATGCAAATTCCAATAGAGTAGGTACTTACACATCTTGTCTATTGTTATATACCTCAGCTCAACCAAGTGACTAACACAGACTGGGTATTCAATAAATGTTTTATGAATGAAAACATTGCTGATTCATGTATTCATTAATACTTGCCACTATGAGTATTTTGGTACATTATAATCAGAGTTTTTAGTGGACTGTGATCTTCCATTTTAACACCTAGCACATTTGTGTAAAGGCATACACAAAATGCCATCATCAGATAGATACTTCCCTGAATTTATAAAAATCACTAAACAAAAACATCTCAAATCCCAATTCCATTACCCTATCCCAATGGTTCTCAGAATGTGGTCTGGGGGCCCCTGGGTTCTCCAAGACACGTTCAGAGAGTCACTGAGAACTGTGGAACTTCTTTATAATTTAACCAAAACACATCACAAGGCTGAAGGTAGATGCAGATGTGAGACTCCATCTGTCTTTTATTAATCTAGACACTAAAGATACCAGTAAATATGTAAAACAATGCCACTGTTCTCACCAAGCTCCTTTGTTTTGAAAATTTTTATTTTTCATAAAAATTATATTTCTATTAACAATAATGAATTTACTTCATTTAAATTTTTTTTCTCAATTTTAAGTTAAATACAGCAATTAGCAATAGGTGGTGTTATCAAGTGTCAAGTTGGTTCCAACTCATAGCGACTGTGTTTTTGGTTTGGACCACCAACTGTGTAGTTAGCAGTCCAGTGCTTATCCTACAGTGCCACACCAGGACCCCTTTCACTAGATATATTTCACATAATCTACAGTTTTTGATTGCTCTAAGTTTGAAGAGAATAAAGGGCTCCTGAGACCCAAATGTTTGAGAACCACTGCCTTAAACTGACATTAAACTAGGTAAAATCTAAAATCTACTCACTACATCAATTCAGTTCTCATTTTTTATTTTTGCTTCTTGCTCAAAGAAAACGAAGGAGAAAAACAGGGACTCCAATATCAAATTATCACACAGGGAATTATCTACAAAATAAAATTTTATTAAATAGATCATTCTTCAGATTCCTTACCAAGGATATATCAGGTGAAAGAGCACTAAAGTCTTCAGGACATCTTTTACTTCCAGATGATAATTTTGTTGTATCTGCAACTTCACCATTGGGCAATATGCCATCTGCAAACCATACTCTCTTCTGTTCTCTGGAACAAAGTCCTAGAATCAGTTGGGAAAAGTAGTACATTTTAATCAGGAAATGTTTTCAGAAGCTTTTTAAAAATTGTCATGCTCTTGAGAGCATGTGGTCTGGTTCTGCAGCTCTCTTTAAGATACACTGTTCATGCAAACACTGTAGTTATTATATAAGGTTTCCAAGGAGCAGCTGGTGAGTTTGAACCACCATCCTTATGGTTCAAACAGACACTGAGGTCTATTGCTTTATTCTACAGCACCACATCAGGACTTCTACATACACATGGTAAGTAGAAAATTAACAGGTTGCTGTGAATGAATTGTCTGATTTTTTACTGCACAGAGGGGATAGGACTACAACTTGGAGGATGAACCTCCTCTTCCACCCAGAGTTGCAATCTTATTCAAGCCCCTCTTAGGGCTACAAAGTGCTAGAGATGGCTTTTTGTTATTCATCTACATTGTGGAGAAGTCTTTTTCTAATTCACAAAAAGACAACGTATTAGATCAGGCATGGCCCTGGGATTAAGGTACTCAGAAAAGCAGTGGACTAGAGAAATTATTCCTTAAAAACACTGGGGCAGGTTTAAAGCATCCCGGTGTGGCACTGTAGGATAAACATTAGACCGCAAGGTCAGTTTGAACCACAAGGTTGGCAGGTCCAACTCATCAGCTGCTCCTTGGAAACCCCATACAGGGTTGCTGTGAGTTCAAGCTGACTCAAAGGCACTTAATAACAACGAGGGGTAGGCTTCTGAGTGTGGAGTGGAGACGGAATGACTTTCGGTGCTAAAGAATAGGGGCAAAAAGCGTAGTAGACTGGAGAATGGCAGAGATACAAAGAAACACACATTCAAAGAAACTAGAGACATAAAAAAGTATCAAGGAAACAGAGGTAATTTCTTACTTTTGGTTTATTGACCTAACAAAAGAAGTGTAGCTTTTTTGCTCTCATAATGTGGATACTGAAATTGATTGTAGAACAGTATACCTTCTAGAAAATAATACGAGTCCTGGTATGGGACAACCATTGGACTGCCAACTGTGCTAACCACAAGGTCAGCAGTTCAAAACCACTAACCACTCTTGGAAACACTGAGTTAGAACCGACTTGATGGCACACAACAACATAACACTGAAAATTCAAAATCATATACATATTTTTATATTGTAAGTGGGGATATAAGTGATACTCTTAAAACTCAATAACTTAGGTTGCCAATATAACACAATCTAAATATTTTTTAAAGCAAATTTACTATCATCTAGAGCTACAATACACAGCTGATATAGTTAAACTCCTTATTTTAGTTGTAATAAATGGAAAATAGGCATTGAAAAGATAAAATGAAGTCCAAAACAATTGTCAGAAGATTCTGAATTTGCCTGTAACTGACATTTACAGTTTCTAGTATGTTAATACACTAATGTTGTTGCTGTTGTTGTTAAGTACCGTGGAGTCGGTTCCAACTCATAGTGACCCTGCACAGGGTTTCCGAGGCTGTAAATCTTAACAGGAACAGAAAGTCTCATCTCTCTCCCGTGGAACAGCTGGTAGTTTTGAACTGCCGACCTTGAGGTTAGCAGCCCAATTCGTAATCACTATGCTACCAGAGTGTATGTTTAAAAATGTACACCTGCTTTACTTAAGATCCTAAATTATGACAGGTATTAAGAAAAAGCAGAGAGCACAAAAAGAGTTCAAATTAGATTTTTAAGGAAGATGTGCCAGCTATTTACTTTCTCTCACACCCAAGGAATCCTGTTGTGGCGCTGTGGGTTAAAGCACCAGACTGTGAAGCCATCAGAACTGTGAGGTTGGCAGTTCAGGCTCACCAGTTGCTCCTTGGAAACCCTATACAGGGTCGCTATGTGTTGGAACTAACTCAACGGCACTTAACAACAACAATAAAACCCAAGTCCAGCTTTCAATACAATGCTCTTTGGTGCCTTGCTAGGGGTTCAGACACTACACTTCCCAGACTCCCTTTCTAGCTAGATCTTTTCAGGTTCTGACAATGGTGGGCTCTGGAGGGAGACTGGAAGGTGGGAAGAAGAGAGTCTTTCTGTTTCTAGTTCCTGCAGGGATCTTTGCAGAACAAGTAGCAGCAGACATAGCTGTGTGTCCCAAGATATTCAGGGTTCCTCACAACAACCCTAGAACGCTTCCTGTCATCGAAGCACTAACCCTACTACAGTCTCCCTGAGGACACCAGCATTTGCCACTCTGGCATGCACCAGCCATTTGATGCCAAGCTGTCATCCTCCATTTCTGAAAACCAAGAACCTGCTAATACCCTTGCACCAGGCCTTAGCAATACTGCTTCCCCCCTTTTGTTCTTTCAAGTCTAAGGGAGGTGGTAGTTGCTTCTTGCAGTTACTAATCTGTTACCTGAGCTCTTGCTTTCTGCTCTGCCAGCCTTCCAACATACATTTGTAACCTGTATTAAATCCCTTCTGATTTTTCCTTCCTAACAGACCTTGACCACACAATTTCTATTTTAATCATTCATCTTTGATTTAAGACAGTGTTTTCTTCTAGTTACCTTCAACACATGGTTGCTTCAGTACTGAGGTTGGTAAACCTGTAGGTGAAGTATTACTGGCTGTCTGGGTCTCCTGGAGAGCCGGGGCAGTGGCACAGTCATCAGAATGATTGGATTTAAGAGTAGAACCAGTTGGACTCATCATCCTTTCAAATGCCTGAGCTATGAAGAAGGAAACAAACCCAAATCTCTTATGTATACGAACTTTCAAAATAAATACTCTTATTTTCAAAGCCGTTGTTGTTGTTAGGTGCCATCGAGTCAGTACCGACTCATAGTGACCTTATACACAGCAGAACGAAACACTGTCTGATCCTGGGCCAAAGAAATAAATGACTAAGCAAGAAAAGAAATGGCACTTGGCAAAGACAGTGCTGTGAAACTAGCCTAGGCTTCAACTGTAGTTGGTACTCCACTGCAGTGTTGCTGTTATTACGTGCTGCCTAGTCAATTCTGACCCTCAGTGACCCTATCAGTATAACAGAACAAAACACTGCCCAATGCTGCACCATCTTCACAATCCTTGATGGTTTGAGTCTATTGGGTCTGGCTCACCAATTAGTTAATACTTAGCATATGTCTGATATTTACTACAGAAAATCTTGTTTACTAAGATTCTGGTTTTGCCCTTGTACCCCAAAAGCCTATTTCCAACATGGTTCAGTTATTCTTTTAAGACACAGATCATATCACATTCTCCCTCTGTTTAATATTCTTGTGTGGTTTCTCAACTGGAGTGAAAAGATTAGACTGTTACAAAACTCACCAACTCATTCCCAATCCAATGCTGTAGAGTTAATTCCTACTCATAGTGATCCAACAGGACAGAGTAGAACTGTCCCATAGGTTTCCAATATTTATGGAAGCAGACTGCCACATTGTTCTCCCATGAAGCCAGCTGGTAGATTCGAACCAGAGACCTTTTGAAGTTGAACACTTTAACCACTGTATCACCAGGGTTCAAATAATCTGCATTCCCACTCATACTACCTTTCTAGTTACCTGTTTGAACTCATGTTTAACTACAAGCCCACTTGCTCACTCTGATCCAGCCACCCAGATCCCTTGATCTTCAACATGTCAAGACCCCACTTAGCTTACAGTCTTTTGCTCTTATTCCCTCTACCTAGGCAGTTCATCCCACAGATATTCATATATTTTTTATCTCATACTTGTTCAAGTCTCTGCTCATATGCTGTATTATTGTACAACCCTACCCTAACCACTTTGGGAAAAATAGTACCTCTCTTGTCACAAACAAATCTGTTACTACCTCTCTTACATTGTTTTGTTTTCATTTAGGGTATTATCATCATCAAACCGTCTCTTTGCTCACCACCGTTCATCTTTCCCCACATTCAAAGGGAGCCTATTTTGTTCTCAGCTGGAGCTCCCGAACCTTTAGAAGCAGTGCCTGAATATTGCAACAGGAGTCTTCAGCAAAATTACATAAAACAGAACTGGTACCAGCTTCAACAGTTCTCCAAACCTCTCTGCTAAAATGCTCCCACTGCTAAAATTGTTTTCTTCCTCTAATGACACTGAAAAAGACAGCACTCTCATGAAATGGCTTTCACTAGCCAAATGCAATCCAAACATGTTTCTCTGGGGATTTCCAACTTGCCCCAAACTCCCTAATGGTACTCATATGGGTGTTTGCTTGAAACTCATGCATTTTCAGCACAACTTCTTTATTATCCACAATCTTTATTCAAACTATCTCTTTCTACCATTCTTTTGTGGACGGTGTCTCACAAATTTTAAACCATCTATCTCCTCCTATTAGGAGCTCTGGTAGCGTAGTGGTTACGAATCGGGCTGCGAACCTTCAGGTCAGCGGTTTGAAACTACCAGCTGCTCCGCGGGAGAAAGATGAGGCTTTCTACTCCCGTAAAGATTTACACCCTCGGAAACCCTGTACAGGGTCGCTATGGGTCGAAACCGACTCGACGGCACTTAACAACAACAACAACATCTCCTCCTATTAAAAGGACACTTGTTCTTATACTATTTTAAACCCTAAAGTTAATGTTAAACTAACCTTTATTTCTATTTCCTTGTGGTATATAAATTCATGATAAACAGTACCATCAATGTTTATCATGATGTTTGTTCAGTGCCATCAAGTCAGTTTCAACTCATAATGATTCTGTATAGGGTTTCCTAGGTTGTAAATCTTTGTGAGAACAGAAAGCCTCTTCTTTCTCCCTTGGAGCTGCCAGTGGGCTTGAACCACCAATGTGGTTTGCAGTCCAATGCTATATAAAACAGATAACTAAATAAATTTGTTCTAAAACATTTTCTCTGTTTAACCAAAGCTTGATTAGTATCCTCCTGAGGCTTTTTAGTGACTTTACCTTCTCCCATTCTCAGTTCTGACAATCAATATATTTCTCAAAATCCAAACTGCTAACTGAAAAAATGCTTCAAATCTTCATAGCTTCTTTTGTTTTTTGCTATTTTAAAAGTGAAGAGAAGATTATGTGGGAGCTTGTTCTAATATTTCTGAATTATTTAGCAGGCTGATTTGGCTAACAAGCACCAGCAGTTGTCTTGGGGGTTATTAAAACCCCACAGGAAAAACAGAACTATATGCACTCAAACTAACTTCACCATAAACAATGATGAAAATATGGAAAGATTTTGACACTCTATACTCCAGAGCAGAGGTCAACAACGCAGAGCAGAGGTCAACAACAAAGAGTAAAGCAGCTTACCTCAGACTAACAGACTCACATCTGAGCTTTTTGGAGAACTGCTGAAAAAATTTATCTTCATTCAAAAGAAAAAAAAAAAAATTATCATCAAGTATTTATTCTCCCAGCTAACTAACAGGAAGCAGTACCTGAGCTAGTGCAAAGTATTATTTGCTGGAAATTAAACTGTCAACAAATTTTAGAAAATGCCAAGTAGTACTTAAAAGAACACAAACTGTATTGGGAGCAGGGGGGAGGCAGGAGGGAACGCATACATAACACAAAACTGAGAAAATTCAAATAGGACCACCAATAAGATTGCTAATCATGGCAGCTAGCCAGGGAGCCAGAAAACCAATGGAAATGCACACACACAAAATTCTAAAGTTGTGGAGGGATAAAAATGTGCAAATCATGTGATACTCCTATGAACTTATCCATCTATAAAATTATAAATACTTTTATGCAATCATTTATTCTCATTTTAGGCTGTTATTTATTTAGATGGCTATTTCTGAAGGGTGGGAACTATGATCCTGCTTTATGCTATCAATATATATAAAAAAATACTATTTATTGGTAGGCATTCTATAAAAATTATGAGTAGATGATAAGGATGACAGTGATGATGACAAAAACAAATAGGCGGATGAAATGCAGCATTTAGGGACTTGGTACCTGTTAAAAGTTAATGAACTGCCACTCCAGAAACTGAATGCCTCCTTTCCAGACTGGTAGTATTAATTGTGAGAGTGGAACAAAAAGAAGAGAAACCAAGGCTTGGGATGTCCCACCTAAGCCAGATAAGTCAACACTAGGTCCTTGCCTTAAGAAAATAAAGAAGTTTATCTTTGTCACAATCCGATTTTTTTAAAAGGTAATTCAATTGCTGGAAGAAAATGATCAGGTTAATACTCACCTTTACTAATAGTCTCATAGCAGACTACACATACTCTTGCTTCCTTTTCTAGGTACTGTAGTTTACATTTTCTATTACAACAGACACCACAAAAAACCTATTTAAAAACAAACAAACAAATTCGTTTTTATTTTAAACATACTTATTCTTACTAGAGGTGGGAGAGAGGAGGGAAGGGGAGAGGAGCCAGTCCCAAAGTAACCAAATATCATTTTAATCTATAAAAAAAATAATTAATTTCCATAAGTTGGGGTAGTTTTGTTTTTTTACTTAAGCAAGGTTTCTGCAATTTCAAATTGTATTTCTAACAAGGAGAATTCCTCTAAATCATTTGTGTTGGTTTGAAAAGGGAACAAAAACTTTTAAGTTCGTAATTCTAAAACTTCCTGCGCTTCTTTCAAATATTTGAAAATAGAATGTTGTGTTTCTCTGAGAGAGCAGGGCTGATTTGAAACCAACATCTTACTTAAAAATGCTGACTAAAGATACAGTATTATTTCTAGAGCTTATCCGTCAGAGGTTACAGACAGGTCAGTCAAAGCACTGATGAGGTGAGCATCAGTATACTTGTGCAGGCCTATTTGCTTTTCAGTGTTTTCTGGGACAACGAATGCAACACTAGATGCCATGTGTGGTCTTGAAAATATGTACTAGAGGACAAAGAGGTCTGAGTTTGGAACATCTGATGTGTCACTGTTACAGTTATGGACACGTATTTTTTATATTTCACAAAAATGAGTAATTAACTAAGTTTCCAGCATGTAGTAATACCCATTAGAATGGGATATTTATTCAATCACCATGCAATTTGTAAAACAACAATGCTTTATATATTTTTGACTATAGGGAGAGAAAACATTCTTGTTAAACTACTGGGATTATTTTATCATCTTGTTAATCAGTTTTGTTAGATTTCACTGAAATGTTCTGAAAAAATAAAAATACTTAAAAGATTTTCATAACTTACTTTCCCACATGCTCTGCAGTGGTGTCGCCGTTTTGTAAAAGTAAATTTGACTTGGCAGTTCATACAGTTTGGCGCTTCGGAATCAGGAACCCAAGGAGGCTGCTTCTGTCCCAAAACCGAGACTTCTTTGCAAGGTTTTTCGGGTAGAGATCCTTCGCTTGCAGTTACAAAACTGGATCCCACCTCGAAATTGCTTTCTATATCAATGTAATTAGAGTTGAAGTTAGCCTGAGACTCAGCAACAGGATCTGTAGTATTCGTGCTTGAGGCAATGGTACTGGTCTCACTTGCTTCACTTCCGGGTATATTTGGTACATCTGGTTTATTCAGTTCCTTGGAATTCTTTGCTCTGGGTGGAAGGCTAAACAGCTGCTTAGGTCTGGCTCCACCAAAATGAACAGACTGATTATTAATATCAGAGGTTGGTAATGCATTTGCAATCTCAGACTTACTGTTAGACACCCCTTGTTCAACTGGAATTGTGCTATTTTCCCCTAAAGGAAGGCTGCCATTTTCTGCTGTATTCTGTTTATCAACTGTTCCACAAATCAAATTACTACCCGGACTTTCCACAGCAATGCCTGCTTCAGCACTGAGATACGCATTGTTGATACTTCCATCATCTAGGCCTTTCATATCCATCTGATTCATTTGAGAGTTTGGGTCATCTACATTTTTTTCAGAAGACTTTACAGTAGTGGTCTTAAGATACTGTTTGGTCAGAAAGGCATCAAGTTCAGCATCACTAATGAGTGTGCTGCTTCTCATGCCTTCATCAATGTTGAAGTAATCTAAGTCTTGCCCGTTGCCATTATTGGCTGAAAAAGTAAGACCCTCACAATGATCAGGAGGCTCTGCAGCATGAGCACCAGAAAGCTCCAATGCAGATTCTGCAGCCGTATAAGAACTGCTGCTATCAGGGTAAGTCAGAGATTCCACTCGGGTTATGGTTCGGTCAGTATCTACCTTTCCATCTCCTATTTTCTCAACTAACGGCTGAAGAAGTAGGTTTTTACATTTTTCCTGTTTCAAAAGATTGGTCTCCTTAAGTGGTTCTCCACCTAGAGTAACATTCTTCTGTATTTCTCCAGGCATGGTTACTGCATCTTGTACATTCTGTTCGTTCTGTGGTAAACAATCACCATATGCTTTACTTTCAATGAACGATTCATTCAAAGACCCAGATACTGGAAGACACGACAATGAGGCTTGTATATCCTCACTTGAAACATGTACAGTAGAAGAGGAATCTTGGAGTACATCACTATTGTTTTTAATGTCTGAATTTCTTGAGTTTTCTTTTACAGATTGTTTTATAAATAAAGCAGTCTTATTTTCCTGGAGGGAAAAGTCAGGTAATCTGAAATTTTCATTTCCTGAATTAGAATTATTTAAACAAAATCCATCAGCAGTTTTTGGAAGACTGCAAGACAAAGCACTTGTGCTGTCTCCTTTTAAATGTTTAGTGGCAGCTATGACTGCCACATCTCCCTCCTCTTTCATGGAGCACCCATCATCCTTTAATAACTCACAAGGCTGGTTCTTAAGTTCTAGGTTGTCTTTGGCATTACACATTTTGGAACTCTGTTGAGTCACATCAGATGGCATGTTAGAATCAATTGGTTCTAACTGAGTAGAGATCTTTTTATCTTTCACATTTTCTGTTTCTTTGTGATTACATGAATCTGAAAGTGCTGTGTCCATTTTTATACCCAATTCTTTGGTTCCACAGATTTCTCTACTTTGTGATTCAGAGTTGACATCATTCTTTTCCACTGTGACAGTATCACTACCATGATCTGTTGAAGAAACACAAAAAGTATCTGACACTAAAGATAAATCCAACCCAATCAAAGAATTGACACTAGACTTTAAATCATCTGGCAACAATTTTTTACTATCTTCTTCACTATTAGTTGCATGAACTAAATTAGCCATGTCACTTATCAGATCACATACAGGTTTACTACATCGTCCCATATATAAAGGCTTGATTTCATCTGAAGTACCATTATCCACAGAAGAAAGAAGATCAAGTCCTGTAACATTTTTTTCATTTTGTATACAAGTTAGTCCCTCAAGTGTTTTTTCATTCAAGGAAATCTGATTTGTCTCATAACACGTTTCTGATGAGGCAAAATTATTGGTGCACTGTTGATCCTTTGGTAGAAGTGAAATTAGCTGTGAGGAAGCCAACTCTGAGGAAACTGAACAGTGATTGGAATCATATACAGTTTGTTCATCTTGTAAATAATCTTGCTCATCTAATTAAAAGAGAGACACAACATTATTCAACAAAATAAAATGAGACTGCAACAAAATAAAAATTAATATGATGTGAAGTTCCTAAGACTTCAAAACTAAATAAATTCTTCTTTAGACCATAAACATATTGCCCCTTTGTAAATTAGTAATAACTTCCAAAACTATTTTAATTTGGCTTTAAGATACTTTCTGCTTTTCACTTTTGAATATACCAAAACCCACTGCCATCAAGTAGCTTCTGACTCATAAAGACCCTGTAAGATAGAGTAGAACTGTTCCTGAGGGTTTCTGAGACTGAAAATATTTACAAGAGCAGACAGCCTCATCTTTCTTCCACAAAGAAGCTGGTGGGTTTGAACAGCTGACCTTGCAGTTCGCAGCCCAATGCCTAACCGACAGCACCACCAGGGTTCCTTCCTTTTAAATTAGGTGGTGAGGGTAGTGGTTGTGCACTGTCAAGTTGGTTCCAATTCATAGTGACCCTGGTTAGGGTTTCTGAGGCTGTAATGAATCCCCTTTCTCCTGTGGAGCAACTGGTAGATTTCAACTGCTGACCTTGTGGATATCAGCCTAGCTCATAATTCACTACACTACCAGGGCTCCTTTCTCTCAAATATGCTGTTTTTGTTAAGTGCCATTGAGTAGGATCTGAATCATAGAGATCCAGTATAGGGTTTCTGAGGAGCAGCGGGTGGAACTGAATCACCAACCTTGCAGTTCAAACTGATCTTGTGGTCCAGTTCTTATCCTACAGTACAACATAAGGACTCCCTTTTAAAAATAGATGTCATAAAATGGTAGGAATTACACTCACTAACTCAGCTGCATCATAAAAAGTAGATTAAGGAATTGCTGAAAAATAATCTAACTTTCTTGTTCAACTCTACAGAACACTAGTCCTCATTTTTAACATAAGGAAAAGTCATTGATGGCATTTTAACAGCAACAACAATAGTGATGGGACAGCACTTTACACAGAACTCTCAAGTTGCTTTTAGCTTGTTCATATGTTGATTTTAAAGACCTTTCTTTTATCTAAACTTGTACCTACAGAGAAACTTCTAGTTTCCTTATTTCTATTTCTGGGTTTTTGTTCCATTCAGTTTAAACTATTATAATGAAAATGAACTTTTTATAAAAAATCACAATGTGGTAAGACACAAATGAGTTCTCCATACCTGAGTGAACTGAACCACAGTGGGAAAAATAAAAATTAACAAACCTGGGTTCTGTTCAAAATCGTCAAGGAGTTTGTCCAGGTCACTCACTGCTGCTTTAAAATAATTATCCATCCTACCTGAAGATTCAGTCACAATTTAACTTGTTTGTCTAGAAAATAAAAAGAGTAATATTTAATTATTTAACACATGTTGTTGTTGTTGTTAAGTGCCGTCGAGTCGGTTTCGACCCACTGCAACCCTGTACAGGGTTTCCAAGGGTGTAAATCTTTATGGTAGTAGAAAGCCTGATCTTTCTCCCGCGGAGCAGCTGGTAGTTTCGAACCGCTGACCTTTATGATATCTATCAAATGTTAAGAAATATAGTCAGGGAAGAGACAATACTAAAATTAAGAACTCTGTTTTGATACATCTATAATTTACTAGAAGAAATTGCCTTTTTATATACACACAAAAATGGCATGAAAAACTCACAGGATAACAATTACATAAACAATCAGAACTGTTAAAATCTTATCTAAATAATTCATGGGTCAAAGAACGGAAAGTTAAGATACTTATCAATACTACATATAAAACACACTACATACAAATAAAACAATGCATATAAGAACCTGTGGCAGGACAGTTTGGGTGCTAGGGAGGGGGGCAATACACAAGAAGGGAGAGGGGAATGGAAGAACAAAGCAAATGGGAAAACAATTAGGCAGGTTTCCATGGGCTAAGTGGGACAGAGGTAAATAATGATGTATGCACAAACTTGGAACAACAGGGCTCTGGGATACAGGGATGAGACATGGTTGGAATGGGCAAAAGGGGGGAAATAATGTTAAGATGCTTGGCTGTCTTTTGAATCTTGGTTTTCATAACGTACCATTATAAAACAGATACTTGAGGGGGAGAGAAAAGAATAGGCAGAAATATCACCATAGAAAGCTTTTAAGTCTGTCTTCTGCCTATAACTGATTGGAATATCTAAAATGTGGCAACAACATGCCCAGTGAAGAAGGCTTCCTGTGGAGCCTCTGAATTACATAAGACTACAGGTGGAATCCTGAACCCCACCCAGAATCTTCTGAGGTGGAAAATTTCTACTTGAAAGGACAAGCAGACCAACCTGGAGTGGCTAGAAGAACAGAAGATGCCTCTTAAAAGAAAGACCAACAGGAAAAACACAAAATAATATACGCAGTTACGATTGATTACTACAAGAACAAGAAAGTTGCTCACCCAGGAGACATCACAGCAAGTGATCGGGTCCCCTCAGGGTAAACCCCCTTCCAAGACTAAGACTCGATGGGAACACATGCTCTGATTGGTGACCACGTTCCTCACTGATAAAGGGAAGTGAGGGAAACACAGCAATGAAGCTGTGAGCTAAGCCCTACAACGTTCAATAGACTCCTGTGAACCCGGGTGGAGACCTGGTTGGCCAGCAGTGTGGCAAAGCCTGGGGACTCTTGGGCCTAGAGTCAGTGACATAGCCACAGAGGACTAGACTAGAGAGTGATGTCTCTAGCTGATAAGAAGAGAGGGCATATGCACAAGAACACCCACACCTGCAGATAATACCCACTTGACCTGGCTTCAATGACTGGATGATCAGAGCTCAACTAGAAGAAAGAAAAAAAAGAGTAATCTGATACAATTTGATGAACTTGACTTACACCTATGGATGCAATAGCTCAAAAGAGGGAACAAATCTTTACAGCGAGGATCATTCCCACACCCTCTATACACAGAGTAGACAGGGATGGGTAACTTGGACATTGGCTACCCAAAATGGGAGGGGCTACAAAGGCAAGAAGCGACTGGCTTACAAGCTTTCAAGAGGGAGCCTAGATCCAGAGGGCACAGAGGAATGTAGAATCTCCACTGACTAGTATCCAATCTGTCTGGGCGGGGCTCATGAAAGGAGATGGGGATAGGTCTCTTGTGGCACAATAATGAATAATTGTTATCAGGACTGACTGTGAGGGTTGGAAATGTAAAGGTAGACGTTTTGTAGCAAGGAGGGGAGTGATTGACTTTGCAGTCCAGGAGCAGAGGTCCCTGGAACCATCAAGGAGAAGAGTGGAGTGCGGGACCCTATTCAGAGAAACAGTGACGCCAGAGATTGAGGCAGAGACGATGACGTGGAGCAATGGACTGACTGGGGACTCTAAACCCAGAGAGGTAGAGGGGCTGTATGCTGACGACTCGGGGGCAGGCTTGCAGCGTATACCATTTGGCTGGCTGGTGATGCATGGAGGGGATTTTAAATACAACAATGAAACAATATATGATACGGTGAATATAAAGCTAATGCTCTCCCATGTAAACTATCACATAATTCACAATAAAACATTAAAAAAGAACCTGTGGCATTGAGCAAAACTAGTGTTTCAAGGCATGCTTAAAGTCCTACTAAAACCAGGCTTTGAACCCCAAAGATACAGCAGTCAGAAAGGAAAGAACACTATCAAAGGAACAATTCTGGGAACAGATTTAAAACTAACAATGGAAGCCAAAAAACAAAGGAACAACATATTCAAAGAATTGAAAGGAAATAGCAACATTTATTCAGGAGAACAAATTTTCAAGAATTAGAGTGGAAAAAATAAATTTTCAGATAAACACGGAAAGTTTATTCTACAAAGAATTTACAAGAACTTCTAAAGAGTGTACTTTAAAAGAAAAAAATGACCCCAAAGGAACATATGAGGGAAAGGAGATCACAGTAATAAAAGAAGCATGTAGATAAATCTAAATACACATATATATTTTAAAAACAATAATACTGCATTTATGAAGTTAATAAAATTTTGAGTAAAACAGACTTCAATAGTAGATAAATTGGTAGAATGGTAGTAGATACTAAAACTGTTCTAAGAAGCTACTAAAGTAATAAAGTGAGTTAAGCAGAATGGCAGGGTAGGAGATCAGTACGCAACAATCAATCAGTAATAAACATTCTAAAAGGAAAGGAACCAATTCTATTAATAGAATATAAACAATAAAATATCTAGGAATACATTTAATCAGGGAGGTAAAAGACTTGTACACTGAAAACTAAAACACTATCGAAAGAAACGAAAGCCTAAGTAAATGGAAAGACATTCTGTTTATGAAATGGAAGACTTGACAGCAACAAGAAGGCAATACCAAAGTAACCTAAAGATTCAATGCAATCCCTATAAAAACTCCAAATCTTTTTGCAGAAATGGAAAAGCCAAGCCCCAAGTTCAAATGGAATTGCAAGAGGTGCCAAATAATCAGAGCCATCTTGAAAAAGAACGAAGTATGAGAGCTCAAATAAACATACTACAAAGCAAACCCATTTCCATAGTCATTTCAACTCATGGTGACACACTATGTTTTAGAGTAGAACTGTTCCACACAGCTTTCTTAGTTATAATCTTTACAGAAGCAAATAGATTGGAATGTCTTTCTTCCATGGTATCTCTCTCAGTGGTTTCAAACCACCAACCATGAAGATAGCAGTTGAGTGCAAACCTTTTGTACTACCCAGAGATCTCAAAATAGTCTTGTATTTTTATACTGGCAGACAAACAAAAAGTTCATGAAAAAAATGGAACTGAAAGACAAAAATGAAAAACAAAAACAATTTCTCAACGTAAGTATCAAGTTCATGATACTTTTGAAAAGTGATGATATCACCCATTTAGTCCATCCCTAAAGAATTGAAGGCCCTAGGAATTTAACCGTGTTGGTGTAGTCTTTTATACATCATTAAGTGAATAAAAATGGATGCTCTTTAAAGAGTTTTTGTGATTAGGAAACAAAAAAGGCAGAACGAGTCAAATCAGGACTGGGAGGTGGATGTCTAATAATTTCCCATCAAAACTCTCACAAAACTGCCCTTGTTGGACGAGAAGAATAAGCAAGAGCACTGTTGTGGTAGAAGATGACGCTGGTAATGTTTTTCCAGGTATTTTTCTATATAGATGTGGTTAACTTTCTCAAAACACTCTCACAATAAGCACATGATATCATTCTTTGGTCCTCTAGAAAGTAAACAAAAGACCTTGAACATACCCCCAAATGGCTGTCATGACCTTTGCTCTTTACCAATCTACTTTTGCTTTGACTGCCATTGCTTAGATTGTGTGCGTCTTCTAAATTGTACAGGTAAAGCCATGTTTCATTTCCAGTTACAATTCTTTGAAGAAATGCTCTGGATCTTGACTCTACTGTTTTCACTGAAAGCTCTGCTCATATCTGCAGTTGATCTTTTAGCACTCATCGAGCAGAACGTTTACTCAACTTTTTCAGTTAGAATCATGTAAGCTGAACCATCTGAGATGTCTATGATGTTGGCTATGGCTTGTGCCGTTAACCGTCTGTCCTCTTCCATTAGGGCATGAACAAGATTAATTTTTTCCAGGCAATCTGATGTTGATGGTTGCAGGCTTCATTTTTAACACCATCTTGTCCCTTCTTAAAACAAATTATCCTTATAAATTTGATGCTTGTTTTTGCTTCAATTTTAGCAGAATTCATGTTGCTCTGATAGGGATTCTTTTCAAACTGATGTCTTATCCTTCTTAGTGCTTCAAACTAAGTCCTGTTCAGACAGGTTATAACAAGTTAGTACGTGAGTTTCTTTGGGTGCAAAAAATGCTTTTGAAATTCATATAAAGTGTTTTTCTCATTAATTTTTTGAAGACCCCTCATATACACTGAAAAGCATCAACTAAGTAAGTGGATGTCGTATGGTGGAAGTGGAAGGTTATAGAAATGTGAGGGGAGGAGGCTAGGATGATCCAAGTAGTAATGGGTTATTGTTGGAGCCATCAGTGTAAACTTATTGTTTAGTTTAACATGGATAGATACATACAGAAATATTTATAGAAATGAGCATATACACAGATCGTATTTTTAAGTGCTGTTGAGTCTGTTCCAACTCATAGCTACCCTGTATAGAGCTTCTAAGAAGCGGCTAGTGAGTTTGAACTGTCAACCTGTGGTTAGCAGTCTAGTGCTAATTCTACAGCCCATGACACCAGGACTCCATACACAGATTACCATATATAATATATACCTTCTTGTTCCATCAACTGAGAAGGCCTATAGAAGCAACAATACCCAGAGACAATAACCATAAATAGCACCTATATCTTGGTTCCTAA